ATATATATATATATATATAATGATCAAATGTATATGATGCGTTATTAATATCAAACGCACGTTTGCGACTATAGGCGAGTCTTGGCAAGAAATTATGATGGATTGCTCGGCGGCGCCGACCAAAGTTAAGTGCGATCCAAACAGCGACGAATTCGACAATCCAAACGGCTGCGGATCGGACATTGCATTTCCCTACTTCATATCTTTCTACGTGCTCTGTTCATTTCTCGTAAGTGTCAAAGTGGTCGCCCTTGTTAACTACTTGTAGTCCTCTTTCTTATTTAAATCTCCGACTTTATGATCGTAATTTCAGTTTTAATTTTAAATCTCCTGTATATTTATCTCCGCATATTTGTACTGATCATTCTGAAAATAGATCATCAATCTCTTCGTCGCCGTTATCATGGACAACTTTGACTACTTAACGAGAGACTGGTCGATCCTCGGGCCGCACCATCTGGACGAATTTATTCGCCTATGGTCCGAGTACGATCCTGACGCGAAAGGACGTATTAAGCATCTCGACGTGGTAACGTTGCTGAGGAAGATATCACCGCCTTTAGGTTTCGGGAAGCTGTGTCCTCATAGAGTAGCTTGTAAGGTCGGTAGACGATCCTAATGAAGACTTTATAGTTGCGCGAATCAAGATTGACGCGAATCAATGATATATAGAGACTACTGAATAATTGCACTGATATTATGAAATAAAATCACTAAACTGCAAACATTACTCAACCCAGATAATACAAAATGTATCAGAATCATTCAGAATATGTTCGAGAGAGTGTCCTAGGTTATTATTCTACGCACATACAGGGTGATTTCAAGACATTTTGTGCTACTTGAGGAGTATCTTTATTTTATTTCGATTTTAATTAATTTTATAACATCGTATAAAAGGCTCTTCTGGCTTCTCGCCGCGAAATTCTTGATTGATGACATCAGAAGTAAGAAAATACACTTTAAAAATTTTTGCAAAATATATTGAAATAAAAAGATGAATTCATGAAATGACACTTCGATAATCGATCAAGCAGACTTATAAAATAGCCTGAACATTTTCTTTTTATTCGAACAATCAATAATCTCTCATGATTTTGTCACGTTCATTTTATGGCTACTTATTGATTGTTGGAGTCAAAGTGAGATATTTAGATTATTTTACGGATCTAGTCGACTGATTACAAATTATTTTTTTCAACGTGTTTTGAGGAAGTTTTTAACTTATATTTTCTCACTTTTGACGTTATAAATCAAGGTATGACACATCAAATTCTAAAGAGGGAATTTTGACCAAGTTTGAAAAATTGCTGTGCAATCGGGATGGATTAGTAATAGTAAGCTAATTTTGAAATTAATGAGTCTAATTTTTAAATTCAATTTTCAGAGACTCGTCTCGATGAACATGCCATTGAACAGCGACGGCACCGTTCTGTTCAACGCGACGTTGTTTGCCGTCGTGAGGACGTCATTGAAGATCAAGACAGAAGGCAACATCGACGACGCGAACGCCGAGCTCAGGGCGGTAATCAAGAAGATCTGGAAGAGGACTAGTCCGAAGCTCCTGGATCAGGTCGTTCCGCCGCCAGGAGGTGAGGAAACGTTTCCGACAGAGGAGCAAGTTCACTTTCACTCTCTCTCTCTCTCTCTCTCGTGTTAATTATTATATTAATCTTACGCCGAATCGATTCTTTCAGTGGAAGACGAGGTGACAGTCGGCAAGTTTTACGCAACCTTCCTCATCCAGGATTACTTCCGGCGATTCAAGAAACGCAAGGAACAGGAAATGAAAGACGGCGACAAGGATTGTCACAACACCGTGACTCTCCAGGTGAGTTCTTCGAGGATCGGTAAAGAATTTTGTGTGACCAAAGCTAGAAAATTGTACGACTGAATATTCTACGACGTTACCTAACGCGATTAAAATTTTCAAAGGCCGGGTTGAGAACATTACACGAAGCTGGTCCCGAGTTGAAACGCGCAATTTCCGGTAATTTAGAAGAACTCCTCGATGACAATCCGGAGCCTATGCATAGGGTGAGTTTCGTGTTTTCGGCATACTTTTATATGCAAGGAGCTATTCAATAATAATGAAATAATGATAATAATGATTAGAATGCGACAGAGAATCACAATTTCCAAACTTTCATTTCGATGGAAACGTCCTTTGCTATGTAATCCAACGGAAGGACATTCTTTCAGAGAAATCACTCGCTCTTTGGTAGCGTGTGGTCCAGCATGCGCAAAGGACATCACAGCTTTCACAGGGCAAGATCGTTGAAAGTGAACTCCACCACTGCGAAGGTGCGTAAGGTTCAAAATCGCATTCTCTACCAAGTCGTGAGCCTCACATTAATGGAAAGTATTTTTGCAGGCTTCCCCGACCAATTCCATAGACTTTTTACCGTATTCCTCGTTGCAACGGACTGGTGGCCCGGATGCTGCCAATCAAATCACTGCGAGATCTCATCAAGTTGTGCCAAATGTAGCGGGGTAAGTTCTCAACCACACAGATGCACACATATACATACTTCGCTAGTATAATTTCTGGTGAGATTAGACGCTGAAAAGGAGAAGAGATGAGAACTCATCAAGTAGTTATCGTGTCTCTTTCGTGTCTCTTAACAATCAGTTAATTTATATTAAAAAATGTTTGTTAGTGGTCTGAGCGACGGCGCGATGAATCAAATGGGAATGGATCCACGATTGACGAGCATGGAGGAGAACATACCCCTGAGACCGCTCGCTGTCTTCGGCAACCCTGCGCAACAGACGCCTTATCAGAGCACGTACAAAGTGGTCGAGTAAGTAAAAGAGCGCGCACACGAGCGACAAGCTGCAGCGAGTGTCCTATTTCTGTTAAGCGTTGTCTCGTCCGAGTGTAATCGGTGGTTACGCTCTCATCTACGACGAACTCTCTCATTCTCTCGTTATCACGCATCATAGCGCATGCACGATGTCCGTCCGTCCGATCAAATTTCTAAATCGGATCTCTGTCTCGAGGTGACGTGTATCTCGAGTATCACGATTCCTTAGATCCGGCCGCGTTTCATTTCGTCTCATTCGTTCCTTTTCTCGCATAATTTTTTTGTCAGGGACACGCGACGGCGTGTTTATCATCGATAACGATGTCGGATCACGGGTCTCGTCGACGTCACGACCTGGGGACCGTACTCTGGACGAATAGCGAACGCTATATACATCTTTCCGATTCTCACGCTGAAACGACGCTCTACGTATGTTGCTTATATACAAAAGACAGAACCTAGAATTGAGAAGGCATGTTTGGCGTTCCCTGTGTGCTCAGGATAAGGTCCCGGGGCGCGTTTTGACGCGATCGACAACCGAATCGTCCATTCGCGGGGGAGAGTACTCGCTTCGCGGACGATTTAGCGTCGCGACCGATTCGCATCGTTTCTCATCATCCTCTTCGCTTTTCTGTTTACTGTCGTACGTTTCAGTGGATCGGGTAGCGGTAACTATCTCCATCCCAATAGCGAATATGGTAAGACAAGTTAGGGCTCTGCGATCATAGTAGCTGGCTTCCGTTTCGTTGACCGTTTCGCATTTGCTTGTCTACGCGCCTGCATGTGTCTTTCATTAATCACGCTTTGATGATGATCCCCGTTCAACTGTGTGCTCCACGTGTTTCCTACATATGTGTGTGTGTGTGTGTGTGTGTGTGTGTGTGTTGTGCGTGCGTGCGTGCGAGCGTGTGTGTATGTGGGAAAGAGCGACCGGCTGTCGCTCGCGCGAGAAGAAACTGGTTAAACGGGAGTCGATCCGCAAGACCGCGAGGACAATTAGACGCGCGGGTCGTACACGCATCTCACGCGGATGCGTTTGGGTCCCGCGCGTGGTAGCGCTCGTGTCCAGCTGATCGCATGTTGTTCGTACTGATCGTAGATTAACGCAATATTTTGACGATATATAACGCTTGTCAAACCGCCCCCAAACGCCTCGACGAAAGCTCGCCTGGGACCGTTGCCCGATGAACAGGATATTAATTATCCTCGAAACAACTTTTTAGATTGTGCAATTAAAGCGCAGCTTTAATCTTTTTCAAAAACGGCTTGTTTGAACAGTTTGAAATTTTTCCTTCATTGTTTAGAATGCATAATAAATTAAAACAAAAAAAAAACATAAGGTGCATTGGACCTTGATGAGCAGAGATTAAAGGAGATAAGCAAACTCCCTTAGTAAGGGAAAGCAAGGGAAATTTGGTACTTCTTGAGTGCAAATCAACGCACTTTTCGAAGCTTTATTCTGGACACTTTGTGGAAATATTTTTTACTATTCAAGTAAGAAAATAAATAAAAACAGGTATTCCTCGTTCGAGGCGTTGAGGGGCGCGGAGACCTTGCCACGCGCACTAATGTACTAAGAGCGGCCGTTACGTTTTCTCTTTTTCTCTCTCTTTCTCTCTTTGCCCGCGCGCTGTGTGTGTGTGTGTGTGCGCTCGCTCTCGCGCGCGCGTGCACGCTCGTGCAGTCTTCAGGACGGAATCGAGCGGCAGTTGACGCCACCCACGCCTCCGCCGCGACGGAATCCACCCTCCTCGTCCACCGTTCCGAGCACCGGCACCGCGCACACCCCCGCTGCTGCGGCGGCAGCAGCAGCAGCAGCAGCAGCAGCAGCAACAGCAGCAGCAGCAGCGGCATCGGCAACCGCAGCAGCAGCAGCGGCAGCGACGGCAACGGCAACAGGCACGACGGGCGCGCCGGGCGTCGCGGCGACGATCGTCGCGTGCACCACGAGCACGAACACCTCGACCTCCGCGACGAGCCCGAGCCCTGCTTCCTCGTCCAACGGGACGAACTGTTACTATACCTACGCGACGCGGGGCTGCTGCGCCGATTGCGCAGCCTGGAGCAATCACGGTACGAGACCGCCCCGGTCGTCTGTTCACTCGCGCGAGCTCGCGCGGATGCCCCTCGACACGAGTCGACGAATTCGGTCCGGTGGTCAGTCGTTTCCTTGGCAGGCCTTGGGGAAATTGTCTGGCAGTTTGTCTGGTTTAACTCTCGGTGTATCAGCAGGCTCCGTTGGATTCACTTTTGATTGTTATTTTGCAGAGTTGGAAAGCCACGCGTTACTATAACATCGTGATCATTGCAAGTTACTTTTGTTCAATGACGATTTGGTAATGGAGTTATATTTATTTATCAGTTACCGTAACGCAATCGTATCTTTTGAATAAGTGTTTTCTTAACAGTTCTAACTGTTTGCCAAGATTGATATTTCATCAGTTTTCACTTTCTGAGAAACAAGGAGAAAATCTTATTTTTTTAAGGAAAAAAATGTTTGATCCTTGAATCCTTTAATTTGATTTTCATTATTTGCAACACCTCTTTTAGAAGAGAAATCTAATCGAGAGTCAAGTGAATATATTAATCTTAGAAGGAGGGAAATGAAATTTAGGTTAATCTTTTCGAGGGGGAGAGTTAACCTAATGTCGCGCTGAACTGTTCAATTATGCGAGGAAGCTTTTATGGAGGTCTTCTGGAGCCGGTTTGCGTCATCGTATAATTCTTTAAGGGTTCGACGATTGTGTCAAGCAGCGCGATTAGGTCGTGGGGTCAAATACGTGACGGTAATTCGAGAGCTTATGTACTGAATTTACAATTAAATATCGAGAATAGATGTAAAGACGCTTTGGACGCTTTCGCTCCTGGAAGTTTTAAGTAGCGGGAAGTTTAGCGTAGGTTTAGCGCAGGATTTATGTTACACGTCGTGGCTCGAAATATTTTAGAATTGACGTAACGCATGTCTAGTATCGGTGTGTTCAGCATCAGTATAATTTAGCTAGTTCGATATTCTCCAATGAATATAGACCCACCCGAATCGTGTGTTGTCAAATTTGTTTTCGTTGGAAAGAAAAAAAGAAAAGATAAAACTGAAGATGAACTAGAAGAGTTCAGGATCAACCCATGAGGAATTTTAGAAGACTCGGTGTACTCCTCGTATTTTTCTCATCCAGTTGTCATTTTTCATCTTTCTCTCTCTCTCTCTCTCTCTCTCTCTCTCTCTCTCTATATATATATATATATATATTTCGTGCATATTTATCTGTTCCAAATAATTTCTGGATGTGTTAGATCAGGCTCAGACTATGTTTCATCTCTGTGCTGGCGTCAAAGAGACTGGCGAAACAGTCGATCATTTCTCCCGATTGTCGCAGGGGGGACAAGATCGGTTTGTTTCGAGTGAGATTTCACTTCAAGAAATTTACAGATCGAGTTCTTGACTTTTTTCCATGTGTTCCAACTAAATCAGCAGAATCGACCCGTGTCGAATCGAAATTGTACCCTCATCGATTCTGATTTCCCATTATTATATGATATAGTTCAATCGGAATCTCTCGTTCGCCAGCACAGTGAAGCTTACGCAGAGATAGACTCTCGAGTCAGGCTTCTCTCACTGATAAAAGAACCCCGTGCCCGCTCGCACGCAGCCGTAGACGACTGTGACGACGAGGACACGACCACGGGAAGCGTGTCGAGCGATTCTGGCAGGTGGAACCATTCGGAGGGTGCCGTGGTGCGCGGCACGTCAGGGAGGCCCCACGTCACCGTGCTAGCCCGGCCGTCGAAGCGTCGGGGTCGCCGCGACGCCGCGACCGCCGGCGGCAAATCAGCCCCGGCGAGCTTCCGGTCGCGCGACGACACCGACGCCGCCACGTCGGGTGGTGGTGGTGGTGATGGTCAGTCGGGGTCAGCGGCCGCGACGAGCCCCGGCGCCCGCACCGTCGCCAACGGCCTGAAAATGGCGCAGACCCAGGCGATCGCCGTGGCCGGTTTCCTCGCCGACGTCGACTCGCGGCAATGGCGCGTCTACGCTTCCTGTTTCTCGCACCGAGCGTCCTACCACGGCAGAGGTGACTAAAGAACACGACTTAACCCTTCACGGTCGCATAATATTGGGGCGGAATCGCGTTTTGCGATACGTTATTTCTTTTAAGCGGGACTAATTGTTCTTCCGACTCGGTCTTGAGATAGAAAGTTCGGTGCTGTTTAAGGAGTTTATTCACCAGGTATACATTTTCAGAACCCCTAAGAGTCCTTATTTTTCAGTTGCGCGTCAAAGGGTGCTATTCACTATTTGTCGAGAAAAATTACGTTTTTACGCTTAATTTTCATATTTCGCTATCTAAATAATAAATGTTCATTTGCCACACACATTTCACTTACTACAATGCTACTCAAGGCATAAAACAACAGTTTTCTGATTTACAATGGATCATTATATAAAACGGTATAGCAAACACTATTTCTTCTTCTCGGATTTCCTAATATATAATATTTATAATGATATGTTTTATTTGGATGGTATCACTTTTTGCAAAGTTATACTGAAGTGATCATCTATGTTGCTTCCACTATGAGGTTGTTTATACAAAATTGCAATATTTGATATTAAGTTTCTCATAAAAGTGAACAAATTGTATGAAACTTTAACTACGAATGTGCTTTACTGCGAAATAAATGCTACGTTAAATTTTTAATGCTACGTTAATTTTAAACACTTTAACCGAAATGAATAAACTCCTTAATAGGGACGCTTTGGTACATTGAACAAAAATCGAGTAAAGAGAATTGAGTGTCAAGATTACACTTTTGTTCCATAAGTTGCGATTGAATCAAATTGAGTAAAAAGTTGAGTCAGATCGATAATATCTGACGTAGCAATGTGAACTACAAAATTTAATGAAAAAGTAAAAGATTGACGAAACTGAAACATAAATAGGATAGTTAGTTTACTGTATATTATACAACTCTCGAATTCCTTTAACTCGATTCGAGTTGTTTCTATCGATCTTTCTTTCAATAGTGGAAAAAATGATATCGGTGAATTATCGATCGCAAAGGGTTAACATCACCAGAGGATATCAGTATGCTTGGAAACGAGCAATAATTTTATCTTTCTGTTACATTTACGGTGGATTTCGTTCGATTCGTCCCTCCAAATGATATTCCTATTTCAGGCTTCCCTTCAGTTCTTCCTTAAAAATTCCTCGAGTTCCTAGAAATATGTTTGGAAAATAAATTCCACGATTAAAATTCCCTGAAATACAAAACAGCCTAAGAGGATTGTGCGAATGAAGCGTGAATATGCTTATAATACATGGCGCGAAATTGATTTATGAGATCAAATGTTTCGGACGCGCAAGGTGCCATCACTCTTCATTCGAGTAATCCGCACACACTTGGGAGGAGATCTTCCAAGTGAGAAATCGATAGAAGTACGAAGAGAGACGTGGACCTCAAGGTAGTCAACCGCTGCTCGAAGCACGCGCTCTGCCAGCTTTCAAACTATCATTTTAATACAGACTCGGCACTTCTCTATCTAACGCTTTTACTAACCGCAACTCGGCTCACCTAACACCAGTGAATTCGCGAAGCTTGAGAGACGCATTCGTATGCCATCCGTCAGTGTGTGAGTTTGTGCGCTGTACCCGTTGAAAAGCCAATCGAAATGATAGCCAGAGCTATCGAAAACGCATCGAGATGATAAGGAGGCAGGGCGTGACGATTCGAGCTAAACTCTGACGCCTCTCCTCGTTCGTCAGTTCCCTGGGCTGGAGAGAGTAACGGAACCATCGGCGCAGAGCGCCTGTCCCACAGCCTGCCCGGGAGTCCCGCGGACCGAAAGCCGAATTTCGAGGTCATCGGAAGTGCGGAGAGTCTCGTCGGTCGGGTGAGTTTTGAAATGAGCGATACAGTAAAATTCAGGGGCACTGAAAGTGTAGTTAATTACGATCATCTATATAATTAATTACGTGCGGTTATTTTTTCCATAACAAATCAGATATCGTCAAATATCTAATTAATTATAAATGCGTAATATAATTATATGAAACTGGGCATAATATATAATCAGGATAATTCTTGTGCGAAATGCACAATAATAAATTTAAAAAAATTCTTCTAAACGAAATTGTTGAATTTCGCAACTCGAAAGATACTTCTTCGACCTTGTAATAGTCCAGAATTGGGAAGTAACGCGTTACGAGTTATCATTTCAATGACTTGGTAAAGGTATCATATTTTTCATCAAAAGTGATAATCAGTATTAAATCAGTATTAATTATCACTTTCACTGTTACTTTGTACGTGTAGAATACATGCATAAAGAAGAACAACAACAGGTTGTAAAGTTTTTGAAACCTGGTTAAACCTAGAGAAGGTTCAACACTTGATTTCTTGAGAAACAGCGAGTCACTTCTCAAAATAAATAACGGTAGCGCGAATGTGACTTTTTTAAGAAGCAATTTTCCCAAGCCTGTTCATATCTGACGTCTCGCACGTGCGGTCGTGCTACAGGTTCTGGCGGAGCAAGGCCTCGGCAAGTACTGCGACCCGGACTTCGTGCGGTATACGTCGCGCGAGATGCAGGAGGCGCTGGACATGACGCGGGAGGAGATGGATCGGGCGGCGCATCAGCTGTTGCTGCAGGAGCGACGCGGTCAGCCGCTGTCCTACCAACTTCAACAGGGTGTGGAGCAGCCGTGGAGCCAGCACACGACCGGCATCAACTACCAGCCGTTGCAGGAACAGTCGTCGGCGGGCGGCGGCCAGCTGTCCGTCTACCCTCCGCAGGGAGGTTACCATCAGCTTCGCAGCAGCAGCAGCAGCAGCAATCGGCAGCAGCAGCAGCGACAGCTGCCGTCCTAGCAGGACGAGAAGTCGCAGTCGAGGCGAAAATCATCCACGTAACCCGAAAGCACTCCTCCTCCCCCTCCTCTTCCTCCACCGTTTCCGTAAACGCATCCACGGATTAATCGCCGAAGGATCAAGATCGTCGTCGCGAAGATCGGCGAACCGCGATGAGCGGTCACAGGAAATAACGCGATGTCACCACCAGGACTCCAGCGGACCCGAGCCGGTCGCGCGAATTCGACGGAACCAGATCGCGAGCCTCGACCGTCGCAGTTGCTCGGAAAGTTCGAGGACACTTTGAATCGTTTTGAACTGCTGTCAGGCTGCGGATGAAGCACAGATGCTACCGAAGAAGAGAACATCGGCTCGCTGGGCTTGGGCGAACGGAAAAGCGCGGGAAACTCGCGATGACGAGCTCGGGGACGGCGTCGTCCTCGTTTTGCGACACGATCTGGCTTGCGCACGTCCGGATGTCGCTCAACGAGTATTTTCTAATCGATTTTGCGCGCGTCTCATGAGCGTTCGTCTCGACACTTCGGGCCGCGTCTGATGATACCGAGTCTGAGGTCGACTTGATGTTGAAATCAGCGTAGGTGTGAGTCTCCAACCGGACGGAGTTCCGAAGAAATTCTGCTCGTTCGGCTACGAGGACATACACTTTGTAAGATGTATTTTCACCGCGACGAGAGAGGAGATCGTCGTCGTCGTCGTCGTTGTTGTCATCGTCGTCGTCGTCATCACTGTCTTTCGACGTCGGGCTATCGCGAGAACGAAAAACAATTTGACGGAGCACCCCAGGCTCTCGAAATGGAATTGAGTTTATTTCTTTGAGAACACTTTAGAGATACCATTGTCTTCGTTTAATATCGATCTCCGTTTTCAGATCGGCTCGTCTTGGCAGGGACGATACGACAGACGCCGCGTGTATTCTCCGGAAACGAACGAATCGAAATGAGAGATTAGGATTCGCCCTGTTAAACTGTAAAAGGTCGTTTAAGTCTTGCGATCGTAGCACTGCTCCGTGAATTGATCATGTACCTATTTCCTTTGCGTGAAACTTGTGAAAAATGAAAAGTTTCATTGACAAGTTCAATAAAACTCTTCATTTTCCATGAGGTTACGCGAAGAAGAAAGAGAGAGAGAGAGAAGTAGGTACATACGATTGATTTAGACGAGTGTTATGACCTTAATAAATATAACTGCGACATTGTAATCGACCCGTAAAGTCTGCATCCTTATCTCGACTATTGGCTTTTACATGCTTAAGGTCTGCTACATATTACTTATTTATTCGTATCCAATTCAATTTTAATGAAGAAGAGGGTAATGAAGAAAACATTAAGCCCTTTTCAAAGTTAACACGTTAACTGCCATGGAGGTTACCGGTGACCGGCGCTGTTCTATAACTGCGTCTAAAATTTGCATATAAGACGTAATAAAAGAAAGTTCTGTACAATTTAATAAGAACAGAGATATAGCCAAATGAAACGACTTAATGCCTTAAAGACAGGGTTGGATAGTAACTAGTTAAAAAGTTAAAAGTTAAGTTAAAAAGTTAAATAGCTTTAACTTAACTTAGTTACATTTTTATACTCTTAACTTTTAACTTAACTTAGTTACATTTTATCGGTAACTATTAACTTTTAATTCGATTATCTTGAAGTTCACCATGCCATAAAAGTGTCGCGAGACATCGAAAGACTGTTCAGTATAGGAGAACTCATTCTCAATCTTCCAGGAAAAATGTCCGATAAAAATTTCGAAAAAAATTTATTACTTAAATTTAATAAGTATCTGTAAATGAAACATGTTTCCAAATAAGGTCTATATTTGTTTTTTCCGTTATTTGTAAAACTGAAACCCTGAAGTCATGAAATGAAACAAATTTAACTTTTAACTTTTTAATTACTTTTTTTTATTAACTTAACTTTTAATTCAATTAATTTCATTATGAGTTAATTTTATCTTAACTAAGTTAAATTTTCAAAGCCATTAACTTTGGCTTAACTTAATTAAAAAAACAAGTTAACTTATCCAATCTTGCTTAAAGACATATATCTAACAGAGATCTGTCCGGAAAGTATTCAGCCTACGTTAATATCTCTGTTTGTCAATATATCTAGGTTTTTAGAAAACTATTCTAGTATTCTTCATCTAGGGAGAACCTTTGTGAGTGTCTCTGTCACACAGCACGGCCCTACAGCTTTTCGGTCGATAACGGTTGTGTAAATATCCAAGAGCATCGTATTTTTACAATGGCCGAGCGCGTCAAACAACGAATTTGTATAAGATTTTGCCAAAAACTTGACCATTTGTGTTCGGAAATGATCAGTATAATTCGTAAGGCTTAAGGGGATGAATCTATGAGTTAAACACAAATCAAGGAATGGTTATACTATTTAAAGATGGCCGCACTTCAGTGGAATGTGACCCTCGTTCTGGCAGGACTGTAATGGTCAGAACACCCAAAAATATAGAATGCGCGAATTGCAATCAATGAAAATCGTCATTTGACTATGCGAAAGTTAGAACGAAACCTTGAAATTCCAAAAACCATTGTTTCTGAAATTTTAACCCAAGATCTGGGAATGAGTCGTGTGACTACAGAATTCGTTCCGCGAAAATTCAAAACACGGCATATCCCAAATCCGTCAGTCTCCGTACAATCCTGATAAGTCAGCTTCGTCTGACTTCTGTCTGTTTTCGAAATTAAAAAATCATTTTAAGCTCATTTTCTTCTGTATAGTATAAGGTCGGGCACGTTCCGGACAGACCTCATAGATCATAAATTGCAGATCTATTGATAATTGGCTGGTGGATGTATGCATCACAATTTACAACGTATCTCTCGGATTCTTCAAACTTTAATTAAGCTTTGAAACGATCAGCGTGGCAGTCAACGTATTAAGATATATTCGAGTGACTAATGTGTTTCTTCTCATCTCAAACTAGATACTTGATTACATCGCTAAACGATGCGTCAAAGACGACGGGGAAATTGAGGAATTAGGAAAACTATAAAACCGATCTACGCCGTACGGAGGAGACTAGATTGACAATTGTTCCAGAGGCGAATCTCTCTCGATCATTTCGATCAGTCTGCTTCCCCACCAGCGATCCAATACCCTCTTTTATAAGGCTTGTCGTCCGTTAAACCTCTTTACGGCACAATTTACATAGAATACCTATTATTATCCTGTAAGTAAACACCTTATACTTGACGCGATAACTTCCTATCAACTCACTATAATAGCGTCCATTGGACGCTAAACTTCTTCTTTCTAATAAGCGTGTATCATACGAGCGAGCTGTGCGTCCACGAGGATGCACACGCGCTTAAAAAATTCGGGCCACAAAGTGTTAAAGGAGGGTAAAAAGTATGAACGACGCCGCACACACGCAACACACATAAACCACGCGCGCACAAACCGCGTGCGCGCGTGACACACGTTGGCGGATACGATCGCTCCTCTTATTGCTCTCATTATTAATTACTACTATCGTTGCCCCTTGTTCTGATGAATTACGGTTTACTAGTCACGATTACGATTCGTACGATGGATTCTAGATGAGATAACAAGTGCCTAAGTATCTATAACTTCTTTCGGACCAGAGAAGACTTTTATCAACTTAGACAAAGTACGACTATTATTGCGAATTATTGCGAGGGAGAGCTGCGAGTCGAGTGTGTACACTACTGATGTTGTGACGATATAGATATTATTATTCGTATGTAATTGTGTACATAACACGTTGCGCGTATATTTCCGCTGATGTGCGTGAGGATGAATGGCCGATAAATAGCGCTGCGCGAGATATATATATATTCGAGATTATATATATATATATATATATATAAATATTATATTATATATTGTATCTATATATAGATGGCAATCTATACAAACTGGGTAGGGGCAGGGACACAGAGGGGGCGGGAGGAGAGGATTAAGTACCCAGATAGCACAAGTGTCAGGAGATTATCCTAGGCGCACATGGGACGTCCCCGGGGCACTCCCCAGGATACCTTGGACATGTCTAGGATGACTCTAAGGCATCCTGTATTATCTGGATAAGTAAGGCGCGCGCGTGCGACTGTTCTCCGCGTGGAGATCTCGCGGCGCGTTGGTTTTTATTGTGTAAAATACTCAGACGTGACGGTCGGACACACAAATCTAGATCGCGAATCACGGATCGTCGAATCTCTTTTAACCCGATTACACCCACTCGTGCATGCTCAACGGTACGGAGAGCCTTACGAAAGCTACTTTATGGATTCCCGCTAGTCTGATCTCCGGGCGGGGAGCGCGTGGTTTGCGAGAGATTTATCAGCGATTCGACCTACGATTGGCGATCAAGCGAAAAGTTACTCCACTCAGTCCAGACGTTTACGTTACATCGGTAATGTCGCGAAAGGAAACAAAAAAAAATTAGAAAATAACTGCAACAACGAGATGAAGATTCATGAATTTTTGCGAAGAGCCGTTTCAGCGCGAAAAAGACGCGATCAGAAATCGCGAAACAACTGCACGGGATGCAGAGAAAAATGGTTGGATCAACCAAATAATTAATGAAATATGAACGAAACAGAAATTCCGGTTGAAGTTACCAGAATTCTGTTCAAGTTAACAAAAATCTAACTAACTAAATAAGATTTTTCTAGCTAACCAGAACTTACAACAACTCAATTTGAAGAAATTGAAGGTTGGTTAACCAAAAATTTTATTTGTTAACCAGAATCTTATTAACTTGAACAGAATTCTGATAATTTAATCTATATTATATGTATCTCTGAAATTTCAAAACAGAGTTCTGATAATTTCAGAGATACATATAATATAGATACATTTACATACATATATATATGCATACATTACATACACGCATATGTTAAATTAGAAGAGTTGGAGACGATAAGCGAGCAAACAAGTGTAAATCAGAGACTACGGGTCCGAACATGACCAAGTAGTGATAGAAGAATTTTTTACGCTCTATAAAGTACATAGAGTTCGCAGTCTGTTCTTCTCACGACAAAGACAAATATAGAGGAGACAAAAAATGATTAAATAAATAAACAAACAAAGCGCCAGAACTATTAATGTATGTGTGTGTGTGTGTTTAAAATTGAAATTCTGGTTCGTTCATATTTCACTAGATATTTGGTCAATTCAAGCAAATTTCTTTGTTCTATGTGCAGATTGCACGCTTTATCGATTTGCAGACGATCGGGTGTGTTCCCGCGAAGAGACAAAATATTTGAGTGCAAATGAAAATTCGCTCAAGATATTATTTTCACACGACGGTCATCGGGATAAATCTCTCGGAAATAACGCGCGTCCCTATTCACGCACAAAGTTCACTCGCTAACAGGCGCCGCAGTCGTGTGCCGCGGTGCACAGCCTCCAATTTTTCCAAGCGATCGGAAATTATCGGTGTGCGTTGCGCTACGAGTGACTTTGGGGGCACGCAGAAACGTGAGGTCAGGAGCACCGGAGGCATAGACATTGAAAACTACGTAAATGTTACTTATAGTCGTTGACAAATTTTTAAGCTCTCGTAAATTTTATAAGTACTCAGTCGTGCGTGGTTCTGGAGATTTGTCGCGAGCTCTTCGATCTTTTCCCCGATTTATATACAATCCCGAGCCGCCCTGAGGCGAGGTTCGGCCGCGCTGAACGTTTTATTAGCGAACTATTAATTATAGGATCTGGACGGTCAATTACGGAGGGGGAGACCGCGGCTCTCGCGAGTTCCGATCGAGCGAGACGCGAAGCGGCCGATTAACAAATCCGTTCACTCGGACTACTACGGACTAGTTTGGGATACTTTCAGAACCACGTTCCTTGAAAGCCTCTTGGCGTCTCTACGACCAAAACACGAACTCCACTTCGTCTCTCTTTCTCTCTTTCGCACACCTTCTCTCCGTGAATTTTCCCTACACCACGTAGTGAGCAAGACCGTCTGTCTATTTTCTCGCCTTAAGTTTCTCCCGTTTTTTGATTTTTCTATCTTCTTTCTTCTCTTTTCACGGTGCGTTGTTCAAACACCATAAACAAAAAAAAAAAAAACCGTTGCTTGCACTGGCGAACGTCGTAGGGATCGAGGTCGCTACGAACGATCGCGGTGGTGGTTTCAACGATTTCTCCTCGTCCTCACTTTTGCTTTACCCCGAATCGTCGTCGATTGCGTTGCACGTCCCACGTTTGACGGGTATATATTAGTCTCACTTGAGTTTTCTCCTCCTTCCGTTCGGTTCTTCACCCGAGAGTGACAACCAAACGAAAACAGTCACTGCTATGAGATACATATAATATAGATACATCTACATACATACATACATACATACACACACACATACATACATATATACATACATTGCATATACGCATATACGTATATGTAAAATTAGAAGAGTCGGAGACGATAACTGAGCAAATAAGTGTAAACCAGAGACTACGGGTCCGAACATGACCAAGTAGTGGCAGAAGAATTTTTTACGCTCTGTAAAGTACATAGAGTTCGCAGTCTGTTCTTCTCACGACGAAGACAAATACAAAGGAGACAAAAAAAACGATTAAATAAATAAAGAAATAAATGGAGCGCCACGGTCCAGAACCACTAATGTTTAAAATCCGAAGTCTGTTTATATCTTATGATGTCTGAATAAAAATTGTCATAGCAATTAACCACCCGTGCAATCAATCGATCTTTTTTGCTTATAATCCACGAAGAAACACACATACGTACGCATGCCCATCCACTAAGACACATACACACGTTGGAATGTTAAAAGATCGACGAGACGATCCAGGAAGAAGAGAGAGCGTCGTTGGATTCTGCGATTCCGGCATTCGGCGCAAAGATCGACCGAGTCGGTGTTTTAATGCAGAAAAGAAAGAAAGAAGCGTTTCCGCTCAGCGCGGCAGACGTGCCCTTTTTCTGCGCATTTCACTTTTCGATGTCTTTCTAACGGCGAGACGTCCTTTATCAACGGCTGTCTTTTTTATACCGTTTTAGAATGGATCAAGATTTACATCGAAACGTTAGATCACTGCACGCGCGGTATCAATTGCGAGAAATCTCGATAGAATATTTGTAGCTCTCTCTCTCTCTCTCTCTCTTGCGTTACCACATAGTGATGAAGTTTATTATCGTGAATGTATGCGTCGCGCGTACATAAGTAGTCGCGCGCGCATAGAGAGACCAAAATTTTCCATCCCGTGAGACTGAAAAACTATCAGGGAGGCTAAATAACGAAGAGTCACACACCGTGAGGAAAGTTTACGGACCTGAGGGCTAAGCGGAATCGATAACCGGCAGAAAAATACAAGAAGGGGTTTGGGAAGAGTGAGGCAAGGCAAGACCTAGCGCGGGAAAGATTCGTCGAGGCACGAATTTATCCCTGAGATATTTTTTTCTCGTTTGGGCGTCTTGTATAAATTACGACTGTAGATATACACATGTATACATGTGTTTTTCCTGAGACACGTAGAGAACGCCAGAATTCAGCAGGACCAATCGCGTATTTCTACTGTAATAAGAGTGTGTAATAAGAGATAGTTTCCCGATTCGTTCCCGAAGAAGGGAGGAAAAAAATGATTGATAGCCGGGAATTAATATTATATAAAGCAGCCGGAAGTTATACTCTTAAGCATGCATCGCCAAAAATAGGTGAAACACGTTGAAATAAAAATTCTACGTAATTACAAGGGACATAAGTACCGTCAAAAACAGAAAAGAAGATAGTACCGTCAAATTAGGAGGTCTTCAATTGTCAAAACTTACGCGGTACAAGAAATGTACTAGATATTGGACCATCTCAAGCCGGCAACCGACCGGTTACCTAAAATTCATGTTCATCTGATCGCCCTAAGGCGTCGCTTAACCTTATGATCGAGCGGTACGTGGTGCCTAATGACTCTGACGACGTTCTGACGACTTATGCTTATATAATGTATCCTTATATGGCGATCTCCCGCTAATGTGTCGGCGGTACATTTGTATATAATAGGTACTTCGTACATATATATATATATATATATATATATATATATATACATATATCAGAGATATGTACGGGAAGTTTTGTAGCTCCTAAACAAAAGGATCATGAATTGTATCTCCAATCGAATCACTGTGTGTATTATCTCGTGCTAATATATCAGGAAAAGTATCACCTATCAGTGAGTAATTCGAAATGTCGTTTCCATTTAGAAATTAGTAAGGTAAAAGTATCAATGCCTGGACACGTACTTAGCATGTACCTAATTCTAGACGTGCTTGTTATTTTAGTTTTAAAATATTGAAATATTCAAACTTTCAATATATATATATATATATATATATATATATATATATATATATATATATATATATATATATATATATATATATATATATATATATATATATATATATATATATATATATATATATATATATATATATATATATATATATATATATATATATATATATATATATATATATATATATATTGAATATATATACAAATATTTTATGTTTGAAGATTAAAAATTCGTATTTAAAGTTGATATATTCGTAGTTAAAGAATCAAAGCAACAAGAATGTCCAGAATTAGATACATGCTAAGTACGTGTCCAGACATTGATACTTTTACTTTACTTCCTTTTACCTTACTAATTTGGAGATACAGAATTAAGAGTGTATATATGATATTAATTATGATAATTACTAATGAGACATTACTAACACAGAGCGGGTGACGCCGTATAGTGGCGGGTATAGTGTGAGCATAACGAATGAAGAATGTTGGGAGTAGAAACCGCGAGAAACCCGCTCGATACATAGACTTAGCGATAACACACGCGAAACAAATTGCACAATAATTATATTCATCTACTCAATTTAGACTATCTTAGGTGCGTATACACTGCGGACACGCGTCGTCTTAATTATATTCGCCGCTCGTAAGTTTATAGCAGCGCGCGTTATTGCCATGTGTTTCGATATGGGATATTCTGAAAATTTGGAATGTTGAAGTATAGAGTGAAAAGTAGGAAATAAAACTGAACGGTGATTGTGAAACGAGATCTCTTTCACGAAATCCCTTCACGTGTCGTTCATCTCAGCGACAGTACTTACCACGAAAAATCTATTTTCTTTATAGTTTGCAATAACAGCTGTTAGAAGTTGCTCGTAAATCGTCCTATTCGCAAGTCTTTTTTTTAGCAGGAATAAAATTATTTTCACGGATTACAATGGAAATAGAATTATTTTCGCAAACTTTAGCAGGAATGAAATAATTTTCACCAATTTTAATCGGGATAAAAATAAATTTCAGATTTCTTTAGATGTGATAAAAAACCATTTTCACGAATTTTGGCCAGAATAAAGTAATTTTTATAAATCTTAGAAATAATTTCTGAAACGAAGGGGAGAAGGGGATGAACAAACATATTGGGGGAATGAATTTATCACATTTGACCGGAACATTATAAGGATAGATAAAGGACTTGTTACTCACAGAGGATGGTGGTGCGCAGGAACTTTTCAACGGGCATCTCTTAAAACCTTCTCGTTTATTTATAAAGTCCGTTGTTTTCTTTCTTTCTCTTTCCTCTTTTTTCTTTCCGTCTCTTCTAAACGTCTGTCAGCAATTTCTCTCTATCTTACAGTACGTACACAATGTGTAGGTCGGTTACGAAACCATTTTGCAAAAGGAAAGTTCCTAGAGAAAATTCCTACATTCCTAGAGATTCCCTTCTAGGTCGCAAGCTTCTGCGCACGGAAGTTAATGATCGGCAGCACGGTTTTAAGGTACATCCATCGCACAGTACGCAGGAATAAAACACGGTGCCATAGTGGTGATTCCAAGTGATGCCCGCGGAATCGCGCAAGATCCGCAGAACGGAACACGTCGATGAGCTTTTCCCGTATTCCGTGCAGCTCGTGCACGTGTGGGCTGTAGCAAGGCACAGGTATGCGCGCGAACTGGCACTCAATCGAAGCTAAGGTAGTCGCCCAGTCACGAATTTTGCGATTATAATTCTTGTTTATGCATCAGGGAACGATCGATCGTGAGATCGAAATCGCTCGTAAACTAGAGTTCAATAAATTATGAGAGAATTTCGACTTAGCGCGCAGCTAATATTATTTCATCACTTGCGCCGCCTTTTTCGCCTTAACCAACTCCACTAGTTCCTGCAAACGAGAATTAGAAAAGAAACCAATTAGATTGCACCGTTCGCACTTGAGCTTCATTCGCAAATTACGCGAATTCTTGTTTGATGTCATATAACGCGTAAGATGATTCTCCTAACGTTATCCCTTGAAATTTTTCTTTTTATTCTCTTGTGACTATGTTTCGTTTCGTTACGCGAGCAAGCAAATTTCTTGCTTCAACATTTAGATAACAATGTACTTCTTATATCTATTATCTTTTTGTTTATTTATCGGTTTTATAAAGTTACGTATAATAAGCGTCATTGATAATGTGTTATATTAATAGCTTATGTCTTTTTAACATGCTCACCTTATACCTCCTCATGCACTCCTTTTTCGTCCTAGTGGGTATACACGCTGCGATCTGGTCCCATCTGTCTGGGACCGTGGTAGGATACGTTTTCAGCGCTTGCTCCAGGAGCTTTTGTTCTGCCGGTGTCCATGGCGCTGGTTCCTTTTTCGTCTCCTTGGTCTCGGCGCCGACGCCGTTCGCGATCGGGTGATCCAGACGTTCCGTGACTGCTGGCATTCTCTCCTCGATCGCTTCCTTGCTCTTCTTCTCCGCGATGAAGTTGTCGAAAGCCCTTTTGTTCGCTTGCTCCTTCAAACTTGACTTGCTGAAATCGGTTGACTGCAGACTTTTGGCTTTTGCCAAGACTTCCTTAGCTTCGCGAGTGACTCCACTAGTGGAACTGCTGTGCTGATTGATGAAGTTAGCAACTACGTCCCAACGCTGATTGGTGCCGGCGGGGAACAGATTGACCGCCTTTATCAAGAGCTGGAGGTCGTTCTCGCTCCAGGGCGCGGTGCATGTTTTAGTCTGCTTCTCGGGTGTATTCCTCGCATCGTTATTCATTACATTCACTCGACGTTCCGCTTCAATGTGCCGCTCAGTTTCCTCGACAATGCTGAGGAACGCGCTTCTGCCATCGGCGTGCAGTTTCTTCATCGCCTCCTCCAGCTGTGCCAGCTTGAACAACTCACAGATCTTCTCCACGCTTTCCATATGTCGGATGTTCTCTGCTGAACTCTTAGCGAAATAGTTGTTTGCCTTGCAGAAGTCCCTGAGTGCCTTCCTCTCTTTACGCAACGCTTTCTTTTGAGCCTCCCGTTCTTGCTTCAGCAACTCCATCTTCGCTCTCTCTTCAGACTCTCTCTTCTCTTTTTCCAACCTCTCCTTCTCTGCTGCGTTTTTGGCTATTCTCTCTTCTTCTTGTTGTCTGGCTTTCGCCGCTTCCTGCTTCGCCCTCTTCGCGGCGTTTTTCTTATCTTTGTCGTCCTGTTGGAACTTCTTTATCCTAGGATCTATATTGTAAGCCATATCTACTAGAGTGCGTATCCGCGCCATCTCCTCTTTCTTTCGTTTAGCTCTAGTGGCTTTGTTCTTCTTCTCGATCCATTTGCGCATGTCCCGGCTGCAATAAATTTCGTTGTTAGTATGCTTCAAAGAAAACCTCGTCATCGTCTTATCGAGAACTACTCACTCTTGACCACTCTCCTTGTCCTCCTCGTCAAGGTAAGAGTATTCGCGCCACGATTCGAAATCATACCAGAACGAATAGAACTTCTCCACTTTATCTCGCATCGTGAACGGGCCACCTAATTGTGGTACAGGCTTCTTTACGGACCACCGTGAGTTGTCTTTGAACGCTTTGCCTAACATTTCGTAGAAATTATGCCGGCAGTCCTTCTCTTCCGGCAGATTATCGTTAAAGTACGGATCCACGCTGTCATAGCTTCGTCTTTTCATTTGGCTACCAAGAATCTCCCAAGCTCGTGTTATACACGTGAAATAATCGTCATCCGGCCGAATCTCCTCACCCATCGCCTTACGTTTATCAGGATGGTGTTTCAAGATCTTCTGCTTGTCTATAACCCATGTATTAGATGTTTGCTCTAACAGATATTATTTGGTAATAGGGGTTGTGTTTCAAAATTATTGGTAGCACTGAAAATCTATAGTATACAGAAAAATGCATATTGCATCTGTAAATCTATTATAAGAGAGTTTATCATAAACATAAAATTTATTTAACATATATTCTAAGTCCTGGTAAGTTGGAAGGAAAGGGAAAGTTATTATAATAGGAATGGATGGGGTGTAGAAAGAGTTAAGGAAGGAATGGAAAGAGGGTGGGATATGGAGGGAGAGATAGTAAGAAGAGAAAGAGACGTGCAAAAACAGTGGATAGAAAGTAAGATTAGGGAGGCAAAGTATAATAAAAGGTATAAAGATATAAGGAAGATAGGGGAGGGACATAAGTATTTGGAAAAGAGCAGTTTGATAAGGATGGGAGCAAAGGTGGGGGGAGAAGTGAGGGCGCTTATTAAGTTAAGGTGTGGTAATCTGGAGTTAAAAAATAAGTATTGGTTAGAGGAGGAAGAGAGAAGGTGTGTAATGTGTGGGAAGGAGCAGGATGAGATGTATCATTATATGTATACATGTGAGTGGGGAAAGAGATGGTTCGAGGAGATGGATAGTATGGAAGGTAGGGGAAAAGAAAGGATATGGGATGATGAAATCGATGAGATTAAAGGGAAAGTATTAAAAAGAATGTGGAGAGAAAGGGAGGGTAAAATCAAAGAGAAAGAAAGAGAAGGAGATAAAGGAAAAGAAAAAGGATAAAGAGAAAAGGGGTGAAGGAAAGAATAAAGAGAGAGGAGAATTTAATGTGATATAGATATAGAAAGTATGGAAGAATGGAAAGGATGAAAGAATGGAGGATGTGTGGAATGTGTGAGTTAGTTGTTTAATGTAAACCAAGTCCCCTTCTTGGCTATTTAATGTATATAGCTGAATGGTAATAAATTATTATATATAAGTCCTGGTAGGTTTAGCATTTCAACCAAGAATATTAAATTAAAATTAAAATTTGGCTTGCTCGCTACATAGAAACAAGCCAAATTTTTCTTCGATAAAATTTTTGAATATTTTTGTAGAGAGAATAGATTCTTTTTTTGAATACCTGCTAGTGCTCTGTCGAGCTCTTCTAAAATTTGTGATAAATATATTTTGAGACTATTATCAAGAATACATTCTTTCTTGAAGATAAATATTATTAAAAGAAAAAAGAAAAAATGAGTAAAATGAGTAATCGCTTTTCTTAATAGCAGAATATTTTTGTATGTGTAGCGCTGATAATGAATATAGGAACACAATCTGTATTTACTGTGAATATATTATACATACAAGCTCTCTTGATGATATCTTCAGTCGCTTTGTGTCTGAGATTCTTCAAGCCCAAGACAGCGTAGTGATCTTGATCCTTCCAGTCCCTTGGATCCAGCGATCTGAGGTAATCGAGGTCGTCCTCGAACTGATACTGGGACAGATCCTCTTCGTCGTCCGACGATTCCGAGACACTGCCGCGCGTAAGGCTGCGATGGAACTGAATTCGCCATGCCAACGCAGTCGAATATAAAACTACCGGTCCCGCCGTGCTAGTGTTGGCCTTCCCTGGATCTGCAAAACACTCAATTCAAGCAAAAGAGTACAAAGTTCTCACGTGCCATCGTGACGCGATGGACACATATGTCTGTAAGATCGCGGATTGAGAAGCAGAATTGAGAACACACGATGTCCGCACATCAATATCAATCTTAGAGGGAATTTGTGGGAATGTTCACGCGAAATCACGCGAGTACAGCGCGATTAAGGTGTATTTCTGGCGAAATCAGAAACGAATTAAGCATATTCATCGACATACCGAAACTAAAGTCGCGGTGAAAGGCGCGAGTGCCAACCGAAAAACCCGCTGTGCTATGACGAACCTAACCTCTCTCTTTTTTCTCTGTCTCTTTCTCTCTCTCTCTCACTTGACCGGTGTATCGCGCGATGAAAGGAGTCGCTTGTCGCGATGTCTTACCGGATATGGAGTTAAAGGCAGCAGAATCCTCGTTCCCGGTGCCGGTCATCGTCGTGTGATCGTCGATGAGTTATAATTCTGATATCATACGGCGAACACGCAACGGATCACGCACCGTACATCTCCCACGAGAATCAGCACATTAATGCATGCGCGGCGCACCGCTCTGCTGCGACAAAGGACAGCCCCACGAACTGGAGATGGGTGATGTTCGAGTGAATCGAGATTCGATTCAATTCTTGCTCAAGGATCGATCATCTTGACGCGATATTTCCAAATCTGAATTGCTTCATCACCTGTTCTGCTCAAATGTTCATCTTACAGTAGCATATTATCATTGGATCATATCTTTGATTTCTCGTTAGTAAATTAAGATAAGAATTTATCAGATCCGCCATTAATCCATTAATGAAATTAAAAAATATGCTTGGTTTGTTTTTACTATTTAAAATGTAAAAGTATGTAAATGTATTTCGACCTGTCATTGACTCGTATTTAAAATAAGAAAATAAAAGACCTCTTACTTGAATCGCGAATTGCTTCAAAATATGTCTTCTAACTGATGAATAAAACTACAGAATAAAAAATACCTTTGTTTTGTCGTACGACGATCTCGATTCTTCGAGAATGGTGGCGGCTCGTAGCAGAGACTTTCATAAAACTTTCATAAATTATAGCGAATTCGGTTGCTTGCACTAGTGTGCACTGAGTGTGCACTAAGGCTTATTCATAGTATGTTATTATATTTAAAGATTGTCTTAAATAATTCTCAAATAAATTCTCAAATATTTTTAATCATAATATGATATGTATAACATCCGTACGAATCATTTTATTAGTTAAAATGTTTTTAAATATGTATTTAAGACACGATCTTAAATATAAGAATGTACTGTAAACAAGTCTTAATGCGCACTCAGTGCGCACTAGTGCAAGCTACCGAATTCGCTATAAGAGACTAAAAATAATGGGTCGATTCTCGTTTAACTCCAAAATCTCCGCTACGAGTCGCCACTATCGTCAACAAAGAATCGAAGTTGCAATACAACTCAATAATAAGTTAGCCGTGCTTTTATTTTAAAGTTTTTCAGATGAAAAAGTTAATATTTTTCAAATAACATTAGTCAACAACAGGTCAAATGTCTTTCTCATTCTCAACACTTACTTAGTCTCAACTGTCAGATAAATTATTTTTAATATAAATAATTATATAATATTGAGTAGTTTTTATCTTTATTATCGAAAAGTCCATCTTTGTCCTAACGTAGAATTATATTACTTTGTAGATAAAGAAAGAGAAAGATCGCAATAACATATAAAATCTTGCTAGTTTATTGTATACACCACGTTGAACATTTAATATTATCTTTATTTAACAATAATGCTCTAATTAACAAGGCATGGTCCAATTCAATGCGAGTGCATATAAGACGGAAGGCACGTATTTTTTTGAGTGGAACATCGACTTGAGTGTCTGATCTCGTACAACTCACACTATCGGGAGTCTTATTTATCTTACACAATTCTTATGCATATATATACTGTAAATCATATAGAATGTAACAGATAATAATGAACAGATATATAGTCGTGTCCGTCTTATTTCTCTGTAAAGATGATTTGGACGGAGATTTCGACTATGAACGGATACGAGTTTTCGAAGATATTTTGACTGTTCCGATATAATGTACTGGGAAGACAGGGGATAAACGGGACGAATTTCAAAGCAACTGGCATCTGCACCCTACCCTTTGTTCATATCGATGGTAATCTGGGCTTCAATAAATTATCATTGACTTATTATAAATAAATACGGGGAAACGCATATTTGTGCAACGCCATTGTAAGAATACATCATCCATCTTTCGTCCATCTTTTCAAGTTATAGCTCAAGACAGAAAATAAATTAGAGTACGTAGTAACGTTTAGTAACACGTAGCCATTTGCTACGTCAGTCATGTCTAAGAAAGTATCACTAATGTATCGAGAGAAGGCGTACAACAGGCGAGCTATGGGTGGCCCCTTAAGAATTAGGAAAGCTTCATCGTTGAGAATTTTAATCTACTGATGCCCGGGAGACGACAGTCGTCTCTGCGACATGTAGGGATTCTGAAGTAATCGCGGTGAACACTCAATCACGCGTAATAGCAATGCATCGATATAATCTTCCAGATCGGTGAGTCTCTTGTTCTTTTCCAAGACTTGCGCTTGCAGTTGCAGCGCCAGTTCTATTAGATCCTGCAAACAAAACGTCTCAATCAGAACGAGAATCTTGTATTATGGAAAACAGTAATTATATTTTTACTTAATGAAGATCCGCAGTAGTGATAAAAAAATAATTCTATTGATAAAAACAATTAAAAATTAAGTTGAATTGGTAGATCAATTAATTAAATCAGCCTAAAAGAGGAATGTGTCTCTCACCTCTCTCGATTTTCCGTCAAACTGGTTCAGGACTTCGTGTGGTAGGCGGCTCTTTGAGTTCGCGGCATTCTTGACCGCGTCTTCGCCACCGATGATGATTCTTTCGGAAGACAGGTGATTCTCGTTGTTGTATTTGTTCTCTTTGTCCCTCTTTTTGTCTTTCTTTGACTGCTTCTCTTCCTTGGGGCTGCGTGTGCCGAGTTTATCTTCTCTTTTGTCCCTCGACTTGTCCTCCTTCAGTAGTTTCTCCTTGCTCGAAGCAAACTTTTCGTCCTTGTTCTTCGGCTGCAGGATTTCCCTCGGCGCTGGACTGGGCGGTTCCGGTGGTTCCTTCAATCTCAACGCTGGCGATGGTGAACGAGCCGGCGAAGCATCGCGTTTGTTATCCTGCAGCTCGTCCACTATGATCTTAGGATTCGGCTTGTGTTCCCACCTGATAAGCACAATATATTTAACTTTACAAGCACGCTCGTGTACTTCATTTATCTGATGTAATTTTCTAACTTTGTTTCTGTGTTTCAACTATGTTGATTATAATTTTATCATAAACATGATATATTGCTGTTAGACCAATCCTTGAGAATAAATGCAATTTTACCTCTTAGGAACGCTGCTGGCCTGCTTGCCATAAAGTTTTAAACCCCACTCGTCGTCCTTCGCATTGTCGACTTTTGACAGGTTTGTCGTGGACGCGCTCATGGCAAATCGCGGAGGCTTGTTCGGCGCAGCATTAACCGGCACCGGTGGAGTGTGATGCTCGTTGAAGACATTGCTCTGCGAGCCGTGCGGAACGCCGACGCCATTGGTACTACCACCAGTCACACCTGACGCGGGTGTGTTCAGAGACGAGGCTGAGCTCTTGTGAGACAGATCGTCAAACTAGAACATAGATTGAAAAATTACTCCAGAATATCTCCGACAGATATATACATGAATTTCTATTTTTACTTTTTTTTCATTTTTTAATTTACGATCAAGATCAAAATATCAGAATCAATGAAAAGTCACAAATCAGAATTTGGAAAAGTTAGTTTAAACAAAGTATATATTTAAAAAAATTGATCATAATTATTAATCGTACTAAATGTATAATATGATTCGCAATTGGATTTATTATTATTAATCATTGATATATTATTGACTTAATTTCTAATTAAAGACATAGTCGATGATATTGTTACAGAAAATATAATCCATTGGTGCTTACTGTGAATTCATCCTCGTCCTCGCTGATAACTCCAGGATCAGCCTCACCCGGTTCTTGCCGAGTGATCCTGGTGAACTGGTGCTCCTCCTTCTCATCGAGATTATCAACTTCGAGTCGATTCTTACTTTTGCCTTTGACTTTGTTCCCGATCGATTTCGCTAGTTTCTTAAGGCCCTTACGTTTCTCGAGACTGCCGATGCTCAACAAACTACCACCGATCGATTGTGCGGCGGTGGATAACTGGCCCAACGAGCTTTTGTGACGCTCCTTTCTAGTTAGATCGGTCAGGCTTCCAGCTTTCACGATGAAGCCGATCCTCACCTCGAGCTCGCCTCTCTCTTTCGTGTTCTCTTTGCCTGGCTTGCTGTTAAGAGTGTACCTAATACAAGCGCATTTGGTCTTTCATAATTTTATCTATGACGAATAAAATAGATACATACACTGAGGGAAATGTCTGATGATACTAACCAGAATTCTATTTAGGTTTACCAAACGGTATGATAAATAATAAGATATTTAGTGTAATAAGATATTTAGTCAATGATATCAAACTATCTGGTGAACGCATTGTCTAAGTAGCAATACAGTAATGCTTAAATACGTTTACTAAACCGTCTGGTACAACATACAATTCATTTGGTGAATGTTATGAATACAGTTGTGGAGTAGTGTTAGACTTCTTCTAACCTAAAATCTAATCATATTATATAATTTTCATATACTTACTATATATAATCTTCATATATTTACTTTTAAATTCGTCGACATATTTTAAGAAATTTCATTTTTCCAAATATTTGACAGTTTCAGCGTTCAGTTTTACTCTTTTATAGCACCGACGTCTTTACAAATTAGTATAGATGAAAAAGGAAACATCGCAGCGAGCAATTAACTATCGCGTCAATAGTATCACACGTTTAGAGAGAATTACCAAACTGTCTAGATGTCTACAACTAAATGTCTCGGTATTGACTACCAGATGCGTCGAGACATTAGAATATTGGATATGTGAACCAGATATCGCATATAAATTCACCATATTACTTTCATAAGACGAGTATAGTATCATATACCAACCCATTTCTCTCAGTGTGTAATTTCATAAAACGCACGAACTTCAAAACTATATAACGCGAGTTATTGAAACAGTCTCTTTCCTACCAATAACGAGCATAACAATATCTCAAATGATATAAGTATATTTGAGACACAAATATGAAATCAGATGGGCAAAAGCTAATAATGTGTAGAAAAAAAGAATTATGAAAGGTCTACTGATATACACAAAGAAAATATTGTAGCAAGAATTACGGCAAAATTTTTGCAATCTTGGACCATACAAAGTTATGACCGAAATTATCATATATTTGTTTGAAAATGTTATGCACGTTTGATTTTTTATTGCAACATTATTATAATCGCTTAAATGTGTTTTGTATCGTGTACCAAAAGCAAAGATCGTCAAGTTAACTATTTTTATAATAATTCGCACTGCAATTTCACTACAGTCCAGCTTAAAAAAAAAAAAACAATGTAAAAAGAAATATAATGTTAACTTTTATAATACTATCTCTTCCATGTAGGAAGCGAACAATGCTAGGGTTCACATAGCCGACAACGGAAATAAAAAAAAATACGTTATTACACGTGTTTAAGAACGAACGTGTTTAATTACAGCGTCACGTAACGACAGGCGCAGGTGGAATGCGGGCGATTAATAAAATAGCGATACGCCGCAGTAGAACGCGGCGATTTCTCTTTCTCCTGCAGCTCGTCGATTTCGCACTCGCTCCGATCCGCATGATATTGAAAATATTTCATCGCGGTTGCGAGCCGCAATATATATACATGGATATGCATACCATCTGTTCTTAGGTCTCTCGTACACGTCGAAGTTGGAGAGAGGTATGCTGACCGTGCCGAGGAACTCGTCGACCCCCAGGAAGTTACGGTGCAGAGCGGTGAGGACGATCTCTGCAGTGTTACCCTGTTCCGGGATCAGCAGCTCGCATTCCTCATGCCACTCCACGTCCTTGGTAGCCTTCTCCTTCACCGACGTCTGGTACTTTTCCTTGCCGAGAGCGATCGTCACGAAGCAGTCGTTGGTCTCTGCGCGAAACATTTCATAGTTCGGCGTTTCACGTGGGCGGCGGTGACCGACCACGTTTAATAAGCCACGTAACGGGAATTAAAGGTCTCGGTAAGAGGGAGACGCGGCATTGTCTATCATCGATACCAGAAACACTCTCGCGACGTGCCTTGACGTTTTTGCTCGGTATTATTAATGCTTTCTTCAAGCTTGCACCGCGTGACCTCGGAATCGACAGGTCAGACGTGTGTAGGCGATATCAAACGATATCATGTTATTACTATTATTGTTGTTGGCATTTGCGCTCGAGAGAATTCAATTTTGACTTCTCAACTTGTCACGGTCTTCCCGTCTGCTTTATTCTCAGTTTCGACTTTCGATTGTGCTTATTTATGAAATGTTGACGTTTCGGATTTGCATATTGATTCGATTGAAATGTGTGCAAATAGTAATGGATGTGAGTCGAGACAACGCGACTTTCCTGCGAAATTAAACGACGAAGTGTAGCTTGATCGGTTAAGGTAACACGACTATCGACTATCGACGCCATGAATTTATGACTTTCAGCGAACCCGCCATTAGCCCGTATGATGTACGTTCACTCGTTAACGGCGCTGCGTTTGCTTATTTTACGTCGCGAGTAATAAGTATAGGTGTCATAACACGGTGCATCGGGGACACGCATCGGGAAATCATCAATTCATTATGTCGGTTATTAGGTCGGGATAATTAATCGACAAATATTTTGTGTCGTATTAATTTCGACTCAGGTTACCGAATTCTCTTTATTTTGTTCTTTCTTCTTAGATTCTATTAACGAATTAAATAAATATACTTTATACAGACGGACATTGAGGAGAAAAATGCTTAATTTCGTCACAATGACAGCAACTTTCAGCGCCAATTATATATTTTTGTTATTCTAACCAAAAAAGTATAAATAACAATATAATTATAACAATATAAGTATAAATAACAATATATAAACGGAAAAAGATTGAATTAAAAACAAATATTATTACCAATATGATACCTGAATTCTGTTTAAATTTACAAGATTTTGATTAACTGGAACATGAAACTGTTCAATTTGAAACATTTACAAGTTCTGGTTAACCGGAAATCTTGTTAACTCGAACAGAATTCTTCAACCGAAATTTTCTAGTTCGCTGATATTTCCAGACATTAACCAGACATTTGGTTAATCCAACTAAATATTTTTCTTCCGTGCATATAAGGTTTATTATCATTAACTATAATAGCACTTGTTACAAAAATGGCACTCCTCGTTATAATTATTTATTACGCAATTATAGTTAATTTTTCTTTCTTTCTCTTTTTCTATGCATTGCTCCATTATGTCATGAATATTTATCATTTTCTTAAAGGCGCATTTTTTATTGACACATAAAACCACACGAGATTTTTGCGATAAATCGTGGCATACGTCTGGAATCTGCTGAGACAGCGGGATCGTTCGTATTGGACGGAACTCGAAGTTGCCGCGAACGCGTTGTCGATTTAATGACACATTAAACGCACAAAGATTTGTCCGTATATTTTTTTTTTGTAATTTAGGTCGCGCGCGATTCGCAAAAACCGGATGATTCATGACCTAAAATAGCGGCAGAATACGAGGTCACTCAGTATCGGCGCGAACACGTGAATAACGTTGAGTAGATAGGCAAGGAACGTGACGATGCACGTTGCGACAAGTGGGAGACATGTGACAGCTGGATTATCGAGAAATCTTGAGATCACTATACATAAGATACTTCGTGAAACCTCACTCTCACGTTGAGACTAAGAAGATCGAGTATCTTCTTGCAACTCGACTTGTCTTAAAGTAGTTTGAAGGTCGTATGTTTAACGCGTTTCTTTTCCTTCTTTCTAAATGAGAACACGAAAGGGGGCGTCGACGGGAGAGATAAAAGAGTTTGTGATCGAATTAAAAATACGGTACTTACTGTGTTTTCCTTTGGTCAGTAAATTCTTGCCTCTCTGAACTGTAAACAATAATAAAATATCAGTAACTGTAAATGCGGCATAAGTAAGCGAGTAAGTATAGAACTGCATTGGCTAACGTATAATTTACGCTTATTATAATTATAATTATTACTGTTATTTTTATCTAACGTATTCATGTGCGAGGTAAATGTGCTGACTAAGTGGATTATTCAGTTGCGATTGGTCTTTCATCACGAGCTGCTTTATATTATCATCGATATTGTGGGTTGTAGCGAGATAAATGACCAAACATCCCGAGTCGAAATTTTGATTCTACTTTCAACCTTACTATATTCCATTTAACACCTATTTTAATTCTCTACATTAACCTCTTTTATTCTTTTTAACCTACCCGAGTCTAAATTTTAACTACTACTTTCAGCCTTACTATTAACATCCCACTATAATACAACCTACTTTGACGCTAAAAAAAAGTGAAAAGAAAAATTTCAGATATCATTAAGTAGGAGTAAATTCATTAGAATTAAACCTACTTTGCTAAATTAGCTTCTAATGCGTTATAGAATTTAAGGTTTAACATAGAACCAAAATTATACGCACGTAAAAATCAAGCTTATTCGCGATCACTCGATTACTTGTTCCGCAGTTCCATTGATTGAACGACGATTGAATATCACAGCTAATAAAACGCGCGTCCTGTAAGTCGATGTGCGAAAATAGGAATTTCCCTAACAACTCTCGCGCGCACGCGAATCCACCTTTTTCAGTCGACTTTCTTCGGCCGTGAATTTATGTGGAAATCTCACATGACTTTCGCGCATAATCGCTCTCTTGTATCAGAATAGAAGCCGTCGCGTGTATCAGTTACCGCCCCTTTATTGGTTTCACACGATCCGTAGGAATCATTTAATAACGTTCGTCTATGAAACTTATTCTCTCGTGATTCAAATTTAAATGCAATATCTCCTTCTTCTGAAGTTCTCAGAGGCACGCGAGTCTACATGCGCGATAAAGCAATAATCAATTCGCGTTGAGTTGATACAAAATTTCAAACCAAGACTTGCGAAATGAGAATGGAATTGATTAGAGTAACATCAACTCTCGTGTCCATCGCGAGACTACACGTATGCAAAAGGAGCATCGTATTTAGAAATTTGTAACCAGGCGACAAGTGCGCGCGTAGGCGCATTTATTAATTAAACCTTCGCGCAACTTCGCGAAACCTTGACCGAAATGCAGAATTTAAACAATGAGATCAGACAGTTCTATCATTCCCAGACGGGTGCTTCCGTTTGATTGTTTCAATTTGATTCGATTGCTCTGTTCGCGCGATATAAAATTCTCACAATTCTCTCTGAGATTGAGACTTCGTTCCTTTCACTCGATTTCTTCTCGAGGCACGTCGATTTTCAAAATGGTTCCAACACTTTTTTCCGATGCAGTTTGGAACGTACCCAATGGCCCAATGAGAGGACATAACTTTTAGGAATTAATCAAAAACAAGTGTCCTTATTGAACTATTGGCTACGTTCCAAAACCCACTAGAAAATGTGTTCAAATCGTTTTGAGAACATGTATATACGTACATAGAAAAGAGAGTATGCTTGACCCATACATACATCTGGTTTCAAAGTTTTCGAAAACGATTACAGTTCTGTGCTAATTGCGATGGACAACACTTTGAAAACATACCATTAATTCATACGCGCAAGCAAATTTTTGTCCTTTTTTTATAATATATATTTCAATTATTAAATTACTATATTCCTTTTATATATATATATATATATATATATATATATATATATGGTAATGAAATTGACAAGCTTCCTCTACAAAATGGCTTTTTATTCATTCTATTCGGTCTATTTGTTGCGAAGTAATAATCGTTTATTTGGCTTGCGCTAACCGGATTCAATATTGAGTCGCGACCAGATTTATGTGTGAGCCAACCATACTGTTTTCTTTGTGTAAAAAGAAAATCAGAGCCAATGAGAAATGAAGACGCAGCACTGGGACAGTATCTGATGCGCCGATCGCTCATTAACGGTATCACTTCAGTCGACGATACAATTTTTGTACGCGCCCTATCGTTCCTGAAATCGCGGAATTGAATTTGCATAATTAGCCGAATTTGTTGGATCTGTCGTGAAAAAAAAATCAAAATAAAGAGGAAATAAAAGCTGCGTCTCCCAGAGAGCCCGCGGATCCGTTAGCTCATGGCGCAAAGCGTTACCGAATAACTGTAGGAGGCACTTCCTCGTTCTCACACGCGCGAACGGCGATGAACCGTAATGAATGTGCGATGTGCGCGGAGGAGGTGCATATTCCCCGATTTCTCGAGCCACCTCGGCCAGGAGAGCATGCCGACTCTTTCGTCGCTTCCTCCACGGCCAGATTAGAGTCGACTCGAGAGGAGTCCTGGAGCACCACGAGGCCGCAGTCAAATACCGTTTAGTCGGAAAGGAGCATTTTTAACGCTCTGTGCGTCCCAGCAACGTAGCTGCGATTAAAACGACCTGACGGCGCGCGACCGAATTTCACGAGATCGATCTTCCTCTCTTAAGACCTCTTTGGATCTTTTGGACAATTGCTTGAGTTACGAAGAAAATGATTTCTGTTTCTTAACTGTGTTAATTTGGCAACATCACACATTTATTTCAATTAGCTGTGAGAGCTAATTTAATAATTAGCTCTGGGATCTCACGAAGTTGCTGAATAACAAAAGGCCAGTAAAAGCAGGACATCAGACGATACTCGTGTGAGCGAGAAAAAGATACACGTATTTACGGCATGTAAAATACGTTAAATATATCGCTACATTTATAAACTATCAGCGGTACATCAATTTGCATTTAGATGTTGCGAATACGTGCGATTTATTTCTTTCACTCGCACGCGAATATCATGTAGCGTTCGCGGCTGGCCCTCATCACTTTGCATCGTTCACTTCGTTGATTTGGCTGATTTCGCGAAACTGATTCAAGACATTGAGGTTTAGAGGTTTCCGTTACGTCGTGGTTCCCAAGGGCATACTCACAGCACTGAGCAGGGGATAGCTTATGGTGCACGTTCGCGAACGGAAAGGGGAGCATCGGATAGTCGCTAAGCATGCTTTCACGCGTCGCCTATTTTGCATCGAGGCACGGAAGAGCCGGTCACAACAAGGATTCAACACATTGCGAGAAGAGGATTCGCAATTGTGCGCGCACGCAGTTTTGTCGCGCAAGGGAAACGCGAATTATTGTTATTAACCCACATAATTCACGGCAATTCTACCAACTTTTACGTTATCGCCAAGCGGAAGTGGTTCTTCGTGCTCGTCAAAACATTCGTAATATTCTTGTCACTTATTTCAATTTTAATTTATGAAATTTTCGGGAAACAACTCTGCGAAAAATTGTTTTTCGAGTCACCTTCGGAAAAAGAAAAAGTATCTTGACAAGGAAAAAGGATGTCTCACCAAGTGACACTGTTGATTTTCACAAGTTAAAATTAGGATAATCTGATTAAGGTTTCCGCTGTGTAGCCAAAAGCTCGGTTTGGCTTCCGAACTAGTGCCGCGTTTCTCGTGCGTTTGTTTCTCGCGGAAACAAATCTGCGAACGATCTGAGCAGCACAAAGCATTGGGTCAATATTAAATTTATAGCGGCTAAAGTAGAATTTACTGCAGCCAATCGTTGACCAATATGTATGCTGCTACATAGAGAAGTACATACTGCATTGAAGTAAATATTACCCGTTACAAGTATTTCATAAAGTTATACATTCGCAAATCTATTATTAGTTCATCATAATCAAATTTTTATTCAAATACATTCTAATTTTTAGTAGGTTTTAACATTTCAATTAAAAATATTGAATATAAATAAAAATTTGCTTTGTTCACTGCATAGAATCGAGATAACATTTCTTAGATAAGATTTTATGATATTCTTGTAAAGAGATTAAATTTTTCTTTTGAGTACATAATAATGAGCTTTTCTCAAATTTATCATGAGTACATTTTAAGACTATTAACAAAACATTTTTCGTTGAAGGGAACCATTACTTAAAATAAGAAAAGGAACCAAGATAAAGAAAGAAACATTACTAAAGATAAGAATAAACCGAGTAATCGCTTTTTTGGTAATAGAATATTTTTCTTTGTGTAAAAAACGTGACATCAGCCCGGAAGTCAAGCCGAAAATTAGGACAAGTTTGACGCGAATATTACATATATACGAATACAAATATACGTACTCTCATCGTCTTTGGGTCGAGGTTTCCTCGAGAATTTCGAGTCACTCTTGGGCGATTTTCTGGATCATCCCTGGGCGATTTTCCGCGTTTGCGTCTGGCGTCGCGCCACGTTCACCAAATTTTTAGCCGGGATCTTTGGCTTTTCTCCGCGGCGCGATTCGGCGCGTATCGCGTTACACCTGCGACTCCCGACGGCCGCGATACTCTCGATTTGACAGCCGCTGTTGCGCTACGTCCGAAGGTAAAAGTTTTGCGCGCTAATTAGGAGGACAAGCGGTCTAACGCGCGCACGCTTTCGTGGATTTAAGCCACGTTCTCGGCAACGAGGCAACTTTTATCTCGCGATCGGCTCGCGGTGGAACCTAATTGAAGATTCCGTTTGCTAAAGCTGCACATTGAAAGTTGCAGGAACAACTGGATTGAGTGACTTGGCATTAAGTTGTCGTTGAAAGCAGGAAGCTGCCGAAAAGTCCCTCGGACGGTTGTATTTTCATTGAACCGTTCTTTCTATCGCGACTTCTTGCGCGCGCTCGACGGATAATTGTTTCGCGCAGCAGTTGGATGCGTCGTTATTTGTGCGCACACTGAGAGAAACAAATTATTAATCTTGTTAAAATTATGATAATTTTCGACGCCAATCATTTTATCTTGGTGATTCTGACGACAAAATAGCAGCTATATGCATATCGGGTGCATTCTGTTACTATTTTTTGCATGGTAATACGCAAATACAAGATAACCAATGGGAATGTGTTGAAAATAAACGATTATTACTTCGCAACAAATAGGCCTAATGGAATGAATAAAAAATCATTTTGTAGAGGAAACTTGTCAATTTTATTATCATATATATAAAAAAGGAATATAGTAATTTAATAAATGAAATTATAAAAAAAGGATAAAAATTTGCTTGCACGTATGAATTAATGGTATATGTTTTCAAAGTGTTGTCCATTGCAATCAACACAGAACTGTAATCGTTTTCGAAAACTTTGAAATACATTATCTAACATAGATATGGATGGAGATAGGAATGCTGCGAGTGCATTTTCGAATACTATCTATCAGCTCTGCAATATTTTGAGGTTGTACGGCGTAACATTTTTCTTTAAGGTAACCCCAAAGAAAAAAATCACGCGGATTCAAATCGGGTGAGTAAGGAGACCACTCCAAACTTCCATGAGCAAATTTTCTTACTCACCCGATTTGAGTCCGTGTAATTTTTTGCTTTGGGGTTATCTTAAAGATAAATGTTACGCCGTACAACCTCAAAACATCGCAAAGCTGATAGATAATATTAAAAAATACACTCAAAGCATTCCTATATCTATGTTAGATAATGTATTTCAAAGTTTTCGAAAACAATTACAGTTTTGTATTGATTCCGATGGCCAATATTTTGAAAACATATACCATTAATCATAAGCGCAAGGAAATTTTTGTCCTTCTCTTTATAATGTATATTTCAATTATTAAATTACTATATTTCTTTTTCTATATATATGGTAATAAAGTTGACAAGTTTTCTCTACAAAATGGCGTTTTATTCATTCCATTCGGCCTATTTATTGTGAAGTAATGACCGTTTACTTTCAATACATTCTCATTGGTCACCCTATATAAGGTTATGTATGCAAATATAAAGTTATCATCATTGCGTTGCGTTATATTGTTGAACATTTCTTCGAGTTATAACTTAGATTTAGATATAAAAATATAATAGCTTAGAGTCAGATGTATCTTTAGGGTTAGTATAGAATAGGTTAAGCATGAAAACTAACTGAAAAATTGTTACCTCACTATTTATTCGCTCTAACATTATGTGCATTTACTATATTTTTATTTTTTTCTTATGTAATAATAACTGATCAATAAAGTATTACTATTATTGTTGATATTGTAATAACACTTATTATCAAAGTAGTTTACATAACTATAATTATGAAATCACTATGAAATTGTGCAGTTGGCAGTTTTTTCTCAATGCTTTTCCGACGAATAACTGGACGGATTATCACGTAGATATGAATGTAAGACAGATATTTTTATGCGAGACGATGGGATATTATTTGCTGTAGCAATTTGCTGTAGATATTTGCAGGTAAACCTATTTCGCTGAGGCAACATTAGTCCGCCTCCACGTGAGCCAACGCATCCGCATAATTGCGTCTCGTTTAATTGCCCGTCGGAGTTAATTGATACTATCACTAGAAACTGTTGTAAACCGCGTGACAGAATTGCGATAACTGCGCGTCAATCTCTGGTGCTTGGAGAATTGAAAGGAAGATATTAATTTATTTGTGAATTATCGTATGCCACCAATTTGTTCATTTGAATCACTTATATTTATATACTGAGGTATTATTAGCGGCGTAAAGCCGTTTCTCGAGACAGCGCGGAATACAACCCGTAATAATTTCTAGGCAAAATTGAGACTCGCGTGTTCGCGTGGAAAGCGAAAACCGCTCTCGGACGATACGCATTCTTGGACGCAATTCCGATTTAAGTGATGTCTACAGCTACGTTACACTGTGTTACACAAAACCAGTTTATTGGTCACATATTATCTAAAATATCTTGTAAGATAATATGCAATCAATAAACTGATTTTGTGTAACACAGTGTACGTAGCTGGAAAGCACCCTACAATGAGGACTTAAGCCATAAGACTTAAGCCCATAGACATAATATACTATAGTCCTTATACATAACCTTACTTTAAGACGTAAGTCATAAGAAATTAATCAACTACAGTCGATTATTCTTCTAAAAGTCAACCATACTTGGTCAATTTCTTAAGGCTTACGTCTTAAAGCAAGGTTATGGACAAGGACATAGACTCCGCATACAGTCAGAAAAGTGAAGCCAACATGTACATCAGTCCCTCTGTTCTCTGTCTCTTTCTGCACAGACAAAGTGTACAATAAGATTTAAGTAAAGGCCCTTGCAGAATGTCAGGCAACAAGCAATAGGAATAGGGAATAAGGATTCGGATTGGTCAATTATTTCTATTCCCTGTTCCTATTGGCTAATATCTATTCCTATTGCCTGTAGCCTGGCATTGTGCAAGGACTCCAAAGCTTGATCTACAATGTGTTATTTGCTTCTTGTTTTTTTTTTTCTTTATCTCTTTCTGATTCACACCTTAAACCTTAGCCTTAAGCCTTAAACTAAAAAAAGACAGAGAACAAGAAACAGAAAGCAAAGAGCACCTTGTAGATTAGGCTTAAAAAGCCATCTACAATGGAAAATCGTACGCCGTAGCAGTAAGAAATTGACTAACCATACTGGATTTTTACAAAAATAATCGATTGTGATTGGTCAATTTCTTACTGCAACGTACGATTTTTCATTGTAGATGGCCCTTAAGACTTTTGCTTGCCAGTCCAGTTATAGTGCTGTTGCGCTCTATAATATTATGGAAACGAGAAATGGATACACGCGCAACAAAAAAGTGACAAAATAGAGAGAAAACTATAGCCCTTTTATTCTCGCTCTCTTTCTAGATGTTAGCTTTATTCAATTAGATGACAGAACAAAGGAGTCTATGTATTAGCCCATATTCTCAATCCTCTTTTATCGATAAAAGTGTCTTCAATGTAGCTTCTCAGCCAATCAGGTGGCTCCTAAGCCTCTTTTAGAGGCACTTTTATAGATAAAAGAGGATTGAGAACATGGGCCATTATGTCCATACTGAAGCCCCAAGCCGTAAGAAATTGACTAATCACAGTTGATTACCTTTCTCATATTTGGTTACGATTGGTCAATTTTTTACGGCTTAAGGCTCGTCTACAATGACTGTAAGAGTATGGCTGTAAGGCTGTAACGTGAGCTGTCAGCGAATGAAAATAATTCATTTCGCGTCTTACAGCCTTATAGCCATTCTCTTACAGCTATTGTAGACAAGCCTTTAAGGTTTGGGTCGTTTAGGCTAAGTTCTCGTAGATACCGCTTTAAATACAAGTTGCATGGATGGAACGACAGCACGATGACACATCACGAAACAACGTAGCGCGACGTATCGGTCGTGTTTACGGCGCGCTACTCTGCTTTTATGATGAGTCTTCTTCGATTTAAGATAACGGGACTCATACGATATCAGAGATACAACGAAATATCAACGTATCAAGTAGGAAACTGACTAATGCCAGCAGACGAAATTATCGTTGACTCCGCCGTGTGTGTATCCATACAAAATTAGAATCTGAGATAAACACGAAGTCCCCTAACGGAACATTTAATTTTCCAAGTTTTCGGACATTCCGTTCTTTCGGCGGTTCCGTGGCGAGTTTTCGTGTCATAATACGAGCTCGTCTCCAGATTTCTCGAGATTAGATCCGCAACGTTAGATGCGAGATTAGATGTACGACTCTTGGAAACTTTCCAGGTTAGTGTAGCGACACGGCCGTGATGCGGAATCGCGCGACGAGAATAACGCAGAAAACGACAATATCGTACGGCGCGATTTCTGCGTCTCGAAGCTGCGGACGCTGAAAATCTCGAGCGGAAGGGGACAGGGCCACGGCGTTCACGGATACGTCTCTGACGGCGGCGGCGCGCGACGAGCCTCTTCGAGGTTTCGTTCGCCTAGTTTCCGAGCGAGGATACGTAACCTTACATACCCGAGCGCGCGATAATCGCGTTACGGTACAAACATCCGTCGCGGCGCGAGGTCGGGGCACACCGAACGACCGACCACCTGTCGGAAAGGGGGGCGTCCTTCGACGACGCGTCGCGCGCGGACGACTCGTTCACCCACCTGTCAGTTGAACGTGCGTCGGACTCCACATTTTGGATTCGGCTGTTCCCTGCTCGCGTCCCTCGTGTCCGCTCGCTGTTGTCGCGCGCTCCTCAGCTGCTGCTGCTCACGTCGCAACGGTGACAACGACGACGATGTCAACGCGGCACGAACAAACAAGCGCATCACGCGGCCATACCTCTCGGCACACTGTCGATCGCCTCGCCCGCGACTGCTCGACGCAACGCTCTGTTCGTCGTTCGCCGGCCAACCGTGCCGAACCGGGAGATCACGTCGACCACCGTTCACCTCCTTGCCGAGCGCTTCGCCACGACTATGGTGCGCGCCGCGTCGCACCACCGCTGCTGCGGACGAACAACCGCTACACACGTCCGTGGCGCCAGGAGCGTACTGGCGAGGGCGTCCCCCCCGATAGGTGGCGCCATCTGCATGTTTCTGAAGCTTGAAATTTATTAATTCTAACGCTCGTATTCATAATCAGGCCTTGTATTTAAGGTCTTCTTAAGTTCATCTTCAGACGCTCTACGGATCATTTTATTGGCTACAGAGTATTTAAACATGAACTTGAGGAGGCCTTAAATATAAGGCCTGACTATCTCCTTGTCCACAACCTTGCTTTAATTCTTAAGCCGTAAGAAATTGACCAACCACAGTTGATTATTTTTAAAATAATCGATTGTGGTTGGTCAATTTCTTACGGCTTAAGAATTAAAGCAAGATTGTAGACAAAGAATATGAATATGGGCATTATTTCCGGTCGACAATTGATGATTTAAACTTTAAGGAATTGACCAATCACAGTCGAATGTGAGAAGAATAATCGATTGTAATTAGTTAATTTCTTAAGGCTTAGAACTCAAGTCATATATTGTAAATCGAGACTTAGAGCCGATTATTCTAAACTCTTGGTAAGCTACCTGATAGTTAAATCATATGTCTGTCTTCGTTTTTTCTTCAAATTAAACAAAGACAAACACATGATTTAACTGTCAAGTAGCTTACCAAGAGATTGAAACAATCGGCCCTTAAACGACAAGATGAAATTATATATGAATAACAAAGTGGGATCATTCATGATCCTGGTATTTCATGACCCCGATATTTTAGGAGTTTATATTTTTCTTCTGCATGTAAAAATCTGCATACTGGAGCAAATAAACAACAATTTAATTAGAACCAATTTTTTGACTAGAAATATTTCTTCAATCTAGCATCTGACTTTGACACGAATATATCGCAAAGTTTCAATGGGTTGAAAAATATATACCAAATGGGGTTATTTACCATACGTTATCGTTTAAGGGTTAAGGGCAGAATTATCCAGACAGCACAAATGTCCAAAATTGAGTCATAAGATGTCTTTAAGGCAACTTTAAGACAATACTTTATAAACTTGTCTTAAAGACAACTTAAAGACGTCTTAAAGACGTCTTATGTCCCACTTTTAGACATTGTGCTGTCTGGGTAGAAATAGTGCATTGTTAATACTTATCTGATGTCTGTGATGGGATAATATAAAAGATAAAGGGATAATACCTATATATATATTGTACTGAGACTATATAAGTAGTACTAGCCCAGACAGCACAGACCTTTTAAGGGACATCTTGAGGACATTCTGTGAGGATATAAAGACGTGCACAAGACGTCCCTTAGAGGTGTGCACTGTTTGGGAAATAAATTTTTAAGAAAGATTATATCGTGTTTAATGTCTAATATAGGCTTGCGCCTATAGACACATTCTGTATATACTCTAATAATAAAAAGAAAATGGAAATTTAGAATGGAATTATCGCATGGGATATGAAGATACGGAATGTATGAGGATATATATTGGGATTTACGACAGAATAACTCTTTTGCAAATTACGAGATATGTTTGAATAAAAAATAAAATAGATAGATAGATTGATTTGTTATCTTTTTACAATGACCCCGTGTATGGTACTCTTTCTAAGTCCGATCCTGCGCAGCATATGCCATATGCGTCGACCGACACGCGAACGGTAAGGTCGTATCGTAACTATGAAAAGTGTATCAGAACAGTGAATCTGAAGATCTTCAAAGACATACGTGTATAACGTTTTGATTGTACAGCTTGCCTTTGACTCGCGTGCGAAAGGTTTCCCCTATGTTTCTCGCACATTTGATTAAATCATATCCTGAATGAAAAGTTAATTAACCGTCTGCGACCTGCGATCTCCGCATTGATAAGAACCATTCCGCATAGTCGTGAGAAACGTTTTGTGTCTCAGATTCTTGTGGCTGTGGAGATGCGATTGATTCAACTTGTGCGCAAAGATGATACAAATAACGAGAACGACGCTAAATACGTGCATGGGAAAAAAACAATGTATTTGGATTAATCATGTTATCTCTTCCGTGTGATTAAAGTTCTTAACAAATTTAGCTCATAACGTTTAAACAAAATTTCTTTCTTTTTCTCTCTCTCTATCTTTACTATTTTTATTGTTAAATCGATTATTTATTTATATTGTCGTATATCAACGTCGTTTTATTTTTATTGTTTTGTGCTTGAATTTTTTAATCTTTTTAAAATATAGGTTTCATCGACGTTGTAATTCCTGTGAGACGAACCTCGCCCACGTTCCACGAAGTATCCTCGTACCTGCGAGAGATGTTGCATGCATATGCGATGGGCGAGAATGAGCATGCACGCACAACACTGCGCAGTTGCCATTCCGATTCGTCACCGTTGAAATATGAGTGTACACATAAAGTTTGCTATCGAACGCACAAAGACGGGGTGTAGCGTGGCCGATTAGCACAATAGTCGGACTTATGTACCTCATGTAGGTTAAGAATAGCAATTTCAAATTGCCATTTTCTAATGGCATTCGATTCGACGGGAACGATGACTTCAGATGATTCGCGGTGACAATTGCAACGTTGTTACTTTCATTGACTCTTCTGCTATGTTATACTGCGCGGTTGTGGTGGTGAGCTTTTTTATTAACTACAAGGTCATATCTAAGCTTACTCGTTGCGCACGAAAAAGAGATCAAGAAAAACGATTGCAAAGCTGTACTAAGCGATTTTATTACGCTTACCATGCCGGGAAAAAAGTTCATATATAGCCATATACAGGGTGTTTCAGACCACCCGTACCGCCTATTTAAAATAAAGTGATCAACATTTTATTAAAAATTCAAAACATTTTTTCACTAAGTCGAGAATGCTTTATTAAATGGTGCTATATTTAACTTCTTAATATTGACCGGAAGTGGGTTGTTTAGACCGGAAATTTAGTTTTTTAAATGGAATACCTTATTTTTTTGCAGATTCAGATTCTACAGTGAAAAATACGAAACTTATGTTTGAAACATTTTTTCCAAAAATATGTCCACCGACCTTGAAATGACATTGAAAGTTTATCAGCTACCAGACCTCTTAAGAACTTCCTAGCCGCAGTGCGATAGTCGCCTTTGTATGATTTGACTTTTTAACATATTCCAAGTACTGAAATAAGTACTTCTACTTAAATATCTTATATATTTAAGTACTTCTACTTAAATATCAATTCTTCGTGTACTCCAATCACACTCAAAAATTTTTAAAAGTGGACTGACTAAAGTTGGAATCGGGACAATAAAATGAACTTTTCAATCAAACATAATTTTATTATTTAACTTTTCGTTATAGTCGGAATTTAGTAACAAACTTAACATGTAAAAGAATTGATACTTGTCTTTTACATAATGGAGCTTACATTGAACATTTAGCCTAGACAAGATTTATTAATTGAGTAAAAATTATGTACATGTTAAGTTTGTTACTAAATAAATGTTAAGTGTTGAATCTGCAAAAAAAATAGGGTATTCCATTTAAAAAACTAAACTTCCGGTCTAAACAACCTACTTTCGGTCAATACTGGAAGTTGAATATAGCATTTAATAGAGCGTGCTCAACTTAGTGAAAAAATGTTTTGAATTTTTAATAAAATGTTGATCCCTTTATTTTAAATAGGTAGTACGGGTGGTCTGAAACACTCTGTATAATCATATACAATTATATATGTCCACATTGAAAAGAATGCTGTTGTAAATTCACACAACACAACGTCTAAAATCGAGACATAAGAAGTCTGAAAGGCATCTTGAAGATGTCTCTCAGACATTGGAATATAAGATGTCCCTAAGATGTCTTTAAGATATCTTATGTCCCGATTTTAGACATTGTATTGTATGGGAAAGATATAATTGAAGTGAATGTTTATGGTAGTCCATGATGTCGACATTTAATTGAATTATTTTCTTTTTTTCATTCAATAATATTTGTTTTATGTATGGAGATAAGTAATTAGATATAGTCGCATGTAAGATTATATATATGAACAAAAACTTCATATATAATTATATATAATCATATATATTTTTATACAATTATATATGAGCCTTTTTTCCTGGGAGGGTCGGACAATTGCCCACAGATTGCTGAAGAACGGAAGTGGCGAGGCGATAGACGCGCGCGTCACCGTAATTACCGTGCATCATTGTGCTTCCTATTTCGTAATCACTTAATTGAGACTTTAGTTTGAATAGCGAGTTTATTTTCAAAGCACACTGGGAAACGTCGATTTTCGTTAGAAAATCCGCGCGATATTTTTTAATAGGGGCGGAAATAATACGCGAATGTATATAATAAAGTTTAATTCACGCATTGAATCCATTTTCTTGTTAGTCATAAAACATGTCGTATGTACATAGGCATCATGTCACACATCCCTGGTGATATCTGAAGATAGGCGCGAGTGATAGCTGCGTTGTCACGTATCATTAATTCTTTACACGGTTAATTGCACCTCGTTCCAGAGAAACCTTTTTTTTCGACGCGGCGCGCCCCCTTTTATTGGTGCACGATTACTTTAGGTTGACAGACTTTTATGTAGCACTAGACTGCTAATTCTTTTATACAGTATCAAAAAATACACCTACAAAAATACGTATTATGTATTTTTGCTCTCTTTATAAGTAAGCATTTGCCTATGCATGATGTAAGGAATATGAGAGAGGAAATGATAGATATATGTAAGATGCGTTCTACGAAAGAGCCGTAAGAGTATGCAGCAAGAAAATTGACCAATCGACTATTCTTTGACCGTAAGAAGAATTATCGACTGCAATTGGTTAATATTTTTACCGTTGAAATTTCACTGTTTAAGTTTTTTTGTGTCCTTACAGTTTAAAAATAATCGATTGTGGCTAATCAATTTGTTTATTACTACGTCTTACTGCATATTCTTACGGCTATTGTAGAATGGATTTAATATGGCCGATATTTGCACATGTGCTTTCAACCAATCAAACGTGATTATTCAATTCACACGTTACCA